TACCCAGTGAAGAGTACATCCATCCAAGCCACAAGCAGCCAGTTTCTCCAAGAGAATGCCGTCAGAAATGTATCAAAGGTTTTACTGAAGTCTAGGTAGACAATATCCACGGCCTTTCCCTCATCCACTAAGCAGGTCACCTTGTCATATAAGGAGGCCAGATTAGTCAAGCAGGACCTGCCTTTTGTAAACCCGTGCTGACTAGGCCTGATCACCTGGTTGTCTTGTACATGCTGTGTGATGGCACTCAGGAGGATCTGCTCCCTAACCTTCCTTGGCACCAAGATCAGTCTGACAAGCCTGCAGTTTCCCGAATCCTCCCTTCCAGCCCCTCTTGTAGATGGGCATCACGTTTGCCAACTTCCAGTCACCTGAGACCTTCCCAGTTAGCCAGAACTACTGGCAAATTATTGAAAGTGGCTTGGTGAGCACTTCTGCCAGCTCTCAGTACCCTTGGGTGGATCCCATCCAGCCCCATAGACTTGTGTGTGCCTAAGTGGTATACCAGGTCACTAATCATTTCCCTTTGGATTATGGGTCCTCATTCTGCTCCCTGTCCTCCAGCTCAGGGGGCTGGGTACCCAGAGAACAACTGGTCTTACTACTAAAGACTGAGGCAAAGAAGGCATGAAGTACCTCATCTTTTTCCTCACCCTTTGTCAGTGTGTTTCCCCCCACATCCAATAAGGGATGGAGGTTCTCCTTAGCCCTCCTTTTGTTGCTAATCTATTTATAGAAGCATTTTTATAGTCTTTTATGGCAGTAACCAGATTAAGTTCTAGTTGAGCTTTGGACCTCCTAATTTTTTCCCTGCATGACCTCACAACATCCCTGTAGTCCTCCTGAGTTGCCTGCCCCTTCATAAAGTCATAAACTCTCTTTTTCTTCCCAAGTTCCAGCCAAAGCTCTCTGTTCAGCCAGGCCGGTCTTTCTTTCAACTCCACCGTCTGGTCTTTCGGCACACAGGGACAGCTTGCTCCTGCAAGATTTTCTTCTTGCAGAATGTCCAGCCTTCCTGGACATCCTTTGCCCTTCAGGACTGTCTCCCAAGGGACTCTGTCAACCAGTCTCCTAAACAGGCCAACGGAGATCACTGACAAGTGGCATCCCTCAGGGGTCCATATTGGGACCAGTGCCATTTAATATCTTCATCAATGGCATAGACAGTGGGATTGAGTGCACCCTCAGAAACTTTGCAGATGACACCAAGCTGAGCGGTGCAGCTGACACACTTGAGGGATGGGATGCCATCCAGAAGGATGTGGACAAGCTCAGGAAATGGGCCTGTGTGAACCTCATGAGGTTCAACAAGGCCAAGTGCAAGGTCCTGCACCTGGGTCAGGGCAATCCCCAGTATCAATACAGGCTGCGGGATGAGTGGATTGAGAGCAGCCCTGCAGAGAAGGACTTGGGGGTGCTGGTGGGTGAAAAACTGGACATGAGCCAACAATGTGCGCTCACAGCCCAGAAAGCCAACTGCATCCTGGGCTGCATCAAGAGAAGTGTGGCCAGCAGGTCAAGGCAGGTGATTCTTCCCCTCTACTCTGCTCTGGCGGAGAACCCACCTGGAGTGGGCTGGTGTACCTCCTCTATGAGGACAGGCTGAGAGAGTTGGGGTTGTTCAGCCTGGTGAAGAGAAGGCTCCAGGCAAACCTTACTGTAGCCTTACAGTACTTAAAGGAGGCCTATAAGAAAGATGAGGACAATTTTCTTAGCAGGGCCTGTTGCTATAACACAAGGAGTAACGGTTTTAAACTAAGAGGTCAGATTTAGGCTAGATCTAAGGAAGAATTATTTTTTTTTTTTTACAGTGAGGATGGTGAAACACTGGAACAGGCTGCCCAGAGAGCCCCATCCCTGGAAGCACTCAAGGTCAGGTCGAACAGGACTCTGAGCAACCTGATCCAGCTAAAGGTGTCCCTGCTCGCTGCAGGGCGATTGGACTAGAAGGCCGTTAAAGGTCTCTTCCAACCCAAACAATTCTATGATTCTATGATTTCTACCGAGTCCCATGTACCACTCTTCCTCATTTAGGGGATTCCAAGAGGACTTGAGCTGGTGTTGTGATGGTGTAGTAAGATTTGGAGAACAAGTAGTATATCCACACAGCTTGGGTAAAGCAACTGCTCACTGAAATTATTTCTTTAATGAAAAGCAATGCAACTGTGACATATGCATACAGAAGAACTAACTGGAGGAAGGTAACCACTGTAACAGTAGTCACCTAAGAAAATACTTTTATTTTTATTATGTTCTTTTGGCTCTCTGATAGTTCTGTGGCTATTGTTTTTGAAATTCTTGCTTTAGGTATAGTCAATTGTACTTATATTCCTGAACTACTTAGAAGTGAAATTCCACCGCAACTTGTATCTTATTTTACCTTTCATTCTTTATGTTGCTTCTAAATGGATTTGTCAGCTGGATACTTATTTTCAAAAGACTATCCAACTCAATTTAACTCTTAAAATAGTCTTAAGAAAACTATTTTTGCTTCCTTTATCATTTTTTCCCAGTGGCTTTGAAATGCCATTGCAATAATGCCTAAGAAATCTTCATTCTTATTTCAAGGATGTTTCTTCAAATTGGATGTTTCAGACAAACAGAAGAAAGCAGAAGAGTATAGCTTCAGAGCTTACTCTGTAACTGTCTATCAGTGTAACATCAAAATGTCCTTTTCAGGAAGATCTTACCATCATAGAGACCAACATTATTTACTTTTAATTATCAATTCCATTTGCATACAGCATAAACTCAAAAGTTAATTTAAAAAAAAAATCGTATGAATCTATACAAGAAAAAGCACAGTTAATATTATCTAAACTGTATTGTTAGGGAACAGTTAGCAAATTTACGTAAAGTTTGCATGGCACTGAAGATATAAAGCGGATCATTTCATAATCTAAAATTCAATTGGTAGAGGCTTTCACAGACAAAAAAAATATTTCTGAAAGATCAGTGTTTTCATTATCTCTCATTTGTAATTAGTAACAAAAAACCCAAGGAATCGAATAATACCTGAAACGCAAAGACAATTTTCCACAGGAGCGCTAACGTTCGTTCTCTGTGTCTATCCACAATATCCCTGGAGTCAATTGAAGCACCTATCAAATAAAACAAGGAATTAAGGTGTGCACTAGTCCTCTGATGCATTTAGAATAAACCTCTATTTCTAGGCCTTACCACTTTCATCTTTCAAGTGAATTCCTCGCTCTTTAAGGACATTAAGAACAATGTCAACATTATGCATCTTCTGTAGACGACTTATTGCAGGAACTCTCAGTTGTTTTGAGAGATTCCAGTTTTTGGTGAGAAGTTCCATTGTTCTCCTAACAAAGGGAATTTCACAGTTTAATGCCTTAGCTGAGCTCATATTAAGTATTATATAAAAAAACCCAAACAAAATACATAATTCAAAATAATTCCGTATCAACGTACACAAGACGAATGCCACATTGTAAGTCCACAGCCAGATTGGTTACAGCAAAATCAAATTCATCAAGTGGAGTTTGAATATGACTGACAGGTAGTCCTAAGAAACCAAGATGGCGGGAGAGGTCACCTTCGCCACTCAGGAAGTCCCGAGAAAATGCAAGTAGAAGGTCTTTGCTAGCCTGAAAGAAATCAAAAAAAAAACCCAAACCTAAAAAACCCACACAACAAACAAACAAAAACAAAAAGAAGGAAGATAACCTTAACACTGCAATATTTACCAAGCAGATACAATCTTCATCCCTTGTCCCCCAATTTCATTCCATATTTCCTTACCTAATACTTAAAACTATAATTTTTTTTTTTTTTTTAAATTCATTTTTAGCCAGTTCACACAGCTTAAATTTTCATTGTACCTTGCTACCCATGTCACTGAAAGCATCATCAAATTCAGGAACACTTTTTTTCTCTGTCTGTCTGCTTACATAGTACAAACCCAAGAAAAGGTGATTTTATTTGAACATAATGGATTTGTTAATCAAAGCCTTTGTAGGACAGAATTTACATAGTCTTTCTTACCACAGCAAAGTAACAGGAAAAAAAAACCAAAAACCACAACACAAACAGAAAAGCCCAAACTGGCTTGCAGTTAATGATCAGCTACAGTATGCTAGAGTGATATTTAATAGTGCAGAAGCTTAGATTTAGAGAGGGAAGCCAGATAACAAGATAACGAGAGTCCTTCCTGCAAGACCAACACCTCAAAATTTTCTTGGGAATTCCTTTACATGACTCAGATGATGTGTTGAGAACGTTCACGCAAAAGGCTGAACAGCAAAGACTTGTTAAAGAAAAGTACATCGTCAGATAAAAAAAATTCAAAAATCCTACATTGAATCTTAGAATCATATGGGAGGGAGACATCAAATCACAACTCTCTTACCTTGAACTCTGCATCCCTACAAAAGAGGCAAGGGTCATGGTCAATCATTCTGGACTGTTTCGCACAATCCAGAAAGCAAACCAACAACAGCAATTTTTTCAGTGTGAATTTTGACAAAGCTTCTTCATGACCTGAGAAGATAGAACCCAGTAAGTGCTAGTTCAAAAATTAAGTGCCAAAAACAAGCTATTTTTTGAAGTGGTAGTTACCTTCTCGGTAAAGGTGAGGCACAGTGGGATGTCTGTATTCAGCTGCAACGTCAGGGTTCCAAAGCAAGCGATTAAGGATAAATATTGCTAAACCCATAACATCGCTATTACTCTCCAAAGCTATCAGTTCTCCATAAACAGTCTAATATGAAAGGAGGAGGAAAAAAAGCAGAATTGTTAAATTTTATCTCAAATATTATAAGGACTATTTTTTAATAACATACATTACTGAAATTTTGAAGTAGTAAAGGGCAATTAGTCTCTAAAAATCCATCAGTTCTTCAAATCAGTCACTGAAGCATAAAATCAAAGGAAATTTCAGAATATCCAGTCTCATTTCAAAACATGTATGATCATCTGCATCTGAAGAATCAACCAGGAACTTCCTTAACTGCATTTTTCTCCAGTTTAGTAAAGAGTGAAAGTTATAGGAAACTGCTTTTGTGTTATGGGCAGGGAGTTAACTCCTGCTTTCCTTGATTAAATATTTTCCTTTTTTAATAAGGTAAGGGCTTTTTTAAGACAAGTCTGTTGTAATACTTTAAAAGAGATATAAACAAGCTATAAATGAATTGCACCTACCTGGATTATTAAAACAGAAATTACAAAGAAACCTGAACCATCCCTTACTAAAAAAAGAATTGGTAGATGTCCTTTAAACTTTGATTATAAACCATAAATTCTGCACTTACCTCCAGACCTATACGTAGCCACAAAGGGTTGTAAGATAAAAGCCAGTTAAGGACTTTCTGCCTCTCTCCTGCAAGAGAGCACCTTGAAACTTTACAACCAGCAAACACTTTATATTATAGCAAAAATTTCTATCAAGCAATTTTAGATTAAATCAACTTTTCTTGTGTGTGAATGATCCTTTATCTACTTACAAGAAAAAGGAGGATGCAAATATTTGGTATTCTTACCTACATCTTTCCAGAGGTGTCTGTCTCTGCGAACAAGCAAACGTCTAGTTTCAATCTCAACTTCCAGCTTCCTAATAGCTTTAACCATTTTTTCAGAGGTAAACAAACGGCAAGCATCACGTCGTAACTTATTCAGCTTACGATGAGCCGTATAAGCTTTTAGAGAGGCTTCATCTTTCGTTGGTGCTTTAGGAACACTGGGTTTACGATGGTTCTCTTCTCCCAAGATAAGAGCAGCTGCATTTACTGTTTAAATGCACACAAAAAGTATGCATTTACATCTCAAATAAAGGTAGCTTTGCCCACTTCATTTATTTCTTTTCCCCCTCTCTGAATTCACATTTTGTTATTTTCCTTCTGACTAATGATTTTATCCCTCAGGAAGCTGATCAGCTGTTGCGCTGAACATATATTGTCAAGTACATGTATACTTGTCAAATGTTTAATATAACAATGCTTATTTCATAGGCAAGCAGTGCTAGGAATTCAGTTTTAAGATTGATTGTACCATCTTCAATTTTTTAGATAGAAGCTAAAGACAGAGGAAAAAGTACCATCACTTTAGCACAGTGACAGCTGTAATACTTTTCAGCAGGTGGGGATTCCCCACTCAGCACCCACAGAGGAGTGCCACAGCCACACGTTCCAGCCTGTAATTCCTGTTGCAGAGCATACTGCCCATCCAGGTGTGTGGTACGCTGTGTTTGGCCTGGGCAAGTGTGTCACTCACACTTGTCACAAGGGGAGAATATGACTCTGAAAAGGGTTAGATAGCTATAAAATTCTGCTGGGGTGGACAGCACTGTCTCCAATGTGAGAACTGCTTTAGGTTTAGCATATTCCAAGTTTTCTAGAATAACCGCCACTGAAACACATTACCAAGTATTTGGTTCATGATTATCACAACATTAAGTCAAAGGCTGAAAAGGGAAACACGGGTGATACATAAAATTTAAACCCCAAAAATCTACTCTTACTTAACAGCTCAACGTTACACAAACTAAAGTGACAAGTGGGAACTAGTTAGTGTTAAGCTAGTACCACTATTTATTAATATTAATAAAGCACATTATATAGTGTTTAAGAATATTAAAAGACAAAGTGAAAATTCTTGTACTCTTACCTTGCAAAGTGTTTGTTTTCACACTAAAGTCATCAGGGGTCAGTACAAAATTTAACCACCAGGTGAAACCTCGTTGCTGCTTCTCCTTCCAACGCTCATCATAAAACATGTTTTTAGCAGCAAAAGGCATTGGGTGCCTAGGGATGACTTAATAATAACAATAAAAAAGTAAGCATCTCCCGTTCTTGAAATGTTTGATAAGCAATCAGAAAGGATTAATGTTTGACACTCTATTTAGCACTGTAGCAGAAAAAAGCAGATTGTTAGAATCTCCAGTGACTTGCAGATCAGCCACCATTAAATAAATTTCGGCCACAAAAGAGGGATTAAGTTATTAAAGCACTAGAACAAAGACAAGATTTCTAGAACCCAGGCCATTTGCAACGGGCAAAACGAAGTTGAGCTGGATTAACTATTCTACGATTACATCCGAAAAGAACCATTTTATAGATGCATTTTTCTGATTATATCAACTTAGTATTATCAGCTCTGCAAAATCAGTATCCTTTTGGTATGAAGTTTTCTCTTCTTAGGTATTCTGTTGTTGACGTTAAATGTTATCAGATAGGGAAGAGGCATTTCACTGATAATCATCAGTCAGCTGGGAACACACCAAAAGCGTGTAATATAGCTTTTACACGTAGAGGCAAAACTGGAGAGAAGCAACATTCACTTTCCAATGGTGATGTGTTGCAATCAATTTTCTTACGATTAGTCAAAATGGATCATGAAAGGTTACACACATTTTTCTATTAGATATTGATTCTTTGTAGGTACAATCTTCTATTTCACTCAGCTCTAACCAGTTGAGCCTTACCAATCACCAGCAGTACAGCAATCAGGACATTCAGTTCAGCATATACTCTTTACTAAATACCAGAAGTTTGCCTACCTGTTTTCAGGGGCTTCACAAAAGTCAGGTGAGACTGAGCCAATCCAGGGATGGGTTTACTAATTCTGTTGGTAGTTCTAGACGCTTTCTGAACTGAAGAACCTACAAGCATTAACACACAAATATCAACAACAAATACATCAGTGAAAGTTAACGTCTCAAGATTCATATCACTTATAAAGCATGGAACTGGAATAATTCCTCATGAATCCATCCAAAATATTAGTAATCTCCTGTTCATGGAAAAAGTTAAGCAAAGCAGTTTGACTACAATCATAAGGGAAAAGTAGTTAAAAGTAAGTAGGAGCTACCATATTTCACAGTTCTTCCATATAGCAAGGAAAAGTACTGTTTGCATTCATCATCATATGGCTAGAAACACTAAGCTAAGTGGTAAAACCATTCGTTAGAACACGTGAAAGTTGTGTGTTCTATGAGCACCCAGGGTAAGAGGTATGACTTTTTAGGGCCTGACTCACCTCTTCCCACAGCTAGATGGCAGACTACACTGATAGTCATTTCAGAGCAGCCTGACTTCTGTTTAGGCATCAAGGCACTAGCTAGTATTATCCACCACGTAGCAGCAGCAGGACTTAAATAAAACACAAGTAAAAAAATGCAGATCTAGGCTTTCTGAACTCTGAACATATAAAGACACACACTTTTAGCATAATCCTTTTGTTACATTGATACAAAATGAAGGATTAAAAAAGTATGCTCTTGTAGATGGACTATAGCTGCTGCCTGATACCCCCCTGACAAGGTGGTACTTCAGAAACAAAAAAGATAGTGATCATAAATTACAGGTTTCAGCCTCCTGCTTAGCTGAAGTAGTGTTTTTCATGGAACATTCTCCTCTAGAGAAGTGAAGAAGTAATTCGAACCTCTCGTGAACTTTAATAAATTTTAATTACTTTCTGATAATTTTTAATAAAGTTGGATCTTTAGTGGATTAAAGTAATGCTGGGCATTTCAAGGGTAACTTTTAGTAGTAAAATATCTTTGTGAATCCTAGCGACAATGCCTATGCAATTAGGCTATATTTCTCAAGAAAAATTTTCAAGAAAAACGTCACTCAAAGCTGTCATCGTTTTTGTATTTCACAACTAGGATTAAGACAATGCAAATCATTTTGGGCTCACAGAATGCTTCCTTGCCCAGACCATCTCTCTGTATAGATGAATGAAATAATAATGGATGAATAGAATTAACCTGGTAGATAACAAAGCTTTTCCTGCTGCACAGTAACAGTGTTAGTGTGTTATGTTTTTATGTAACTATCCTAAAAAGCCTGAAATCAAAGTGCATTACTGAAAGCCCCAAATCAAATCTAGATCACAGACCAGATCATTTGAACTGAAGAAAACAGTAGGTTATTTTGATCTGAAAGCCATGATGAGCTTTTCCTGGTTTTGGAGGGAATTATTATTATTGCAGGGACTGCATGAAGATTCTGCAAATCAAGTGCTTCTTTCAGTTACAGACCTTCATTCTTTCTCTATTCCAAAGTGTATTTGGGAACAGAACATTTAGAAAACCCAAAATACATTGAAATACAAGAAGCCAACTTCTCTTGATCTTCAAGCATTTATAAAGACATAAAGATCAACAGAAGGCTGACAACAAGCTAATTACAAAGATTAAAAAGCAGGCAGCATGAATGAGACTTGGGAACTACATATTTTAAAACACATGACAACAGCAATGGACTCACATATTCACAATGGTAAGTGTATGTATGACAGAAATCTCGTGCAGCAAGTTTCTAGTAAATTTTAATTACACAACTAGGGCTCTGCTCAAGAACTGCCAGATACTTTTCCTGTTGCTGTCATTAACAAGGTTTACAAAAAGAACAAAGTAAATTTGAAGCCAATTACACAAATGAAACTCTGACCTAGTTTTCAAATTTTTAAAAAGCAGATGATATCTAACAAATGGCAAAAGCCCACATTTCAGAGATATGGAATATTCCTGACAGTTCAGTTTGCTGTACAAATTTCATCATCAAAGGCATCTCTCAGAAAGTGGTAAAGAAGGAAATACTGCTCACCAGCTTTCCTTCTCTGCCCTGCTCTCTCTCGGTTTGTGGGCTTGAAGGCTGATGGTCTCATACTAGTATGCGTTTTATTGTCCACAGTAGATGTAAGAGCTCTTTTTCTTTCCACTTCTTCCACGTGCACTGGAGCTGTAACTTTACTGTCTTCTATATATATTTCACTCTTCCTTTTACGACATAAAGAAGTTGATTCAGTAGAAGATGAATTTACTCTGTCGTGATGCTTATTTTCAGCTGAAATGGGACCTATAACTGGAAGGTGTTTAGATATTTCTGCTTTTGTATCTACAGGCATCACATTAGCACATTCCACTATCGCTTTACTAAGGCATTTTTTAGATTTTGGCTGGAGGGTTTCCATTCTTTTTTCTTCAGTAGCAGCAGGCTTATTTTTGATGACAGTGGCAGAAAGAACTGGACGCTTTTTTGGTTGCTCTCTCCAAGAAGAATTGCAAGTCTGAAGTTCCTCTGTAGAAGGAAATGGGAAGTGATTTTCTTCAGGTTTGTCATAATGAAGCACCTGTGATTCTACATTATGCATCTCAAAGACTTCATTTAAGCTGTGTTCTATACGAACATGTGTTTTTGTCTCTACATCTCCATTTTTTTTCCATTTTGAGGGCAGGAATTTCTTTACAACATAAGTCTCTGCAGCAGATATTAAAGCAGCCTCAAGTTTAGGAGTCTTTGCTTGCTTATCCGCCAAGCTGTCTTTCACAAACTGATCAGGTGACAGGATTGGAACAAACTGCTCTGTTTCCTCTATATCCACTTGATAACTGTCATTTACAAAAGAATCTGGACTTAAAATCCTCCTTGTACTTAAAACAGGCACAGGTGCTGAGTGTTCTGGAGTGCAAACTGGTGAGAGTGTACAATTAAGAACTACTTCATTGTTTGAAACTGGCAGTTCTGATAACCCAGTAGAACTGTATGCACTTTCAGATTTTAAGTCATTGTGCTTGCTAACAAACGTCTTGACACTACAGCTGTCTATTTCAGGCAGTAATTCATTTACAGTGGCAGCAACAGCAATATCTGAGAACGTAGTAGATCTTCTCATTGCAAGTGGGGTATTACGAAGTTCCTCCAGCACTGGTGCAATAGGAGATATTGGTAATTTATTTTCTGAGCCAACAAGAGAGTCATTTCCTGGGGACGCACTATTTTGCATCGCGTTCTGATTCTCACATGGCTGAAGTGGGCTTCTAAGTCTATCCACCTTCTGGGAAACTTGAAAGGTTTTATTAACATTTTTAACTTTCAAGGTACTTTTTTTAACTTTTATTGAAGCAGATGTTTCTGAAGAGTTTTTCTTTTTTATAGTATTCCAAAGACTCTTCTGAAAAGGAACCATAAATAAAAGTTAGTATGCTGACTATGTGTAAAAGTGAACATTATAGTGTATTCATTCAAAGTCTAAAAATACTATAAAAAGAATACTTAGTCCAAAATTCACCATAAGTTATTTTCAGGCTTGAAAACAGCTTTTTTGGTCACGTTTCAGTTTTATTCTCCAAGCTATAATGCACCAGTATCTGGGAATTCCCACAGACAGCATCAATTATCCATTTTTAATTGTCCTTCACTGAATTCCCTACTGATAAAAATCAGTATCTGTGTCAGCTATGCCAAAATAATAGAAGACACATAATGAACACACACTTACCTTTTTCTTCAGAGGCTGCTCAGCAACACCCAGGAGCACAGCTTGATGCTTTACAATGCCATTAATAATAAATGTTACCAGTTCTCTGACTTTTCCCTCTTCTACTGGTGTCCATGTTACAGCAACAAAGATTCTTTGTCCTGACTATTGGAGAAAAAGCAATGTTTAGTATCTAGCGCTCAAGTACACTTATGTAACATCAGAGATAAAGTAATCAAACTGAATGAGAAGCGGTATACAGAAATATTCATGACATGACAACATGACATGATAAAGAGTTGTTAAATGTTTAAATGTTGATTTTCCCCTCTGACATGTAAATTTAAGCAACCTCTATCAAAAATGTTGCCTATTTTTAGTTAAATGACCTGCAAAGATAAGATCTGACACAGAAGTTCATTGAATAAAAACAAAGACACTACAAACGCACAAGGAAGGCGTGAAGCTGTGCATGACCTACGTAAAGCTTCTTCATGTGCAGTGACCTCTACTGAATCATTTCGGTGCTCTGCTGATATCAACACAGACCAAAGACTGTTGTACCTCAGACAAAACCAAAGAGAGTGCGAAAATGACCAAACTCTTGAGCGTTTGAATTAGGAGTTCCACCTCCTCAGGCAGACCCATTTAATGAAAACATACAAATTCAATACGTGCTTATACAGATACAGTAAAGCCACTCAACAATGGTTAGTGTTCACTAATTACTACAGCAGCTTGTTAATTCAAATACTTCACAGTGAGACTCCAGCCTGCTTTTATAAGCATGCTGTTGCAAGAGATCTCTAGTGAGTTTCTTCTTCTCACAATGGCCCTGGAGAAGCTAGATGACCATAGATACGTGTTCGTCTAAATTGTCACTTTAAAAATCGGCACTGATGGGATTAACCACAGTTAATTTCCTTCGGAATCGTAAAGATTTATTCCTCGATTAAGCCTGCTTTACTCTCTGGTGTATTATTAGTTAACAGGTGGAACAGTGAATTAGTATCCTCTCTGCAACAAGCTCCCTCAGCCTTTTTCCTTAACTAAACAGAGCGGCCTCCAACTTTTTGAGGCCGCTTTTAAACACTTCTTATTCTTCTGCCTCAGTCTTTAAAACCGCATTCCCAGAGAGCAATTAATTACCCTTTTTTTTTTGCACCTTAATGCAAAAACACCCTCTGTTGAGCCAGGATTTGCTGCCGTCGTGGCCAGCGACAGCCCCCAGGCCCCGAGAGATCTAATCCGGCCCCCTAAAGCTCCAGCCCTGCCCCCTTAACGCGAACCGCCAGGCACGAACCCAGCACCCAGGGCCGCCCCCCACAGCGGGGCGCAGCTGCCGGGGTACCGGCCCCCCAGCACCGCAGCGACGCGCGGCCGGGTGAC